GGAAGGGAGAGGAGAAAGGGAGGAAAGGGTTAGGATGGTATACAAACTACATAATTGTTTCCTGAGCCATCAATAATATTGAATGAATTTCCCAAATGCCCCGTAACTTTCTTGTTCTCAACGCCATGCTCTGCGACCTGGGATTTTGTCTCTGGCTCACAGTGAAACCTAGTGCCCCTGAGACTCCCAGCCGGGGGCTTCTCAGCTTCCAGAGCTGGCCTGGGCTGACTATGGCACACGCTGAGTGTGTCCTGATGAACCATTTGCAACGTTCACTTTTGAAGAGTTAATGACCTGTAAGGGAGACCGTGGTGAAAGAGTCAGGCCCAACCTAGCAGCCCAAGCAGAGGTTCGGAGCCTGATGTCCTACCTACCTGAGGTCAGGTGGGAAATAACAGAAGTAGGACGTAGTCCCAAAGTTCCCCCTTAGGTGCCAGGCATCGTACACATCCTATTATAAGAACACTGCAGAGTAAATGTTTTTTTCCATAATCCTGTAAGGGAGACAGTGGTGAAAGAGTCAGGCCCAACTTAGCAGCCCAAGCAGAGGTTCGGAGCCTGATGTCCTACCTACCTGAGGTCAGGTGGGAAATAACAGAAGTAGGACGTAGTCCCAAAGTTCCCCCTTAGGTGCCAGGCATCGTACACATCCTATTATAAGAATACTGCGGAGTAAATGTTTTTCTCCATGATGAAGGAGAGTGATGGAGTGATTTGCCTAGACAACTAGTAAGTTGTAGAACTAGGATTTTAAACTAAAGTCTTCAAACTTCAAAACCAACTCCTCTCAACTACTTTAAGATAATTCACAGCGCAGCTGGTGTTGCTCAGTGGTTGAGCGTCGACCCATGAACCAAGAGGTCACCAGTTCGATTCTTCATCAGGGCACATACCCTGGTTGCAGGCTTGATCCCCAATGGGGGACATGCAGGAGGCAGCTGATCGATGATGTTTCTCTCTCATCAATGTTTCTATCTCTCTTTAAAACTTGATGTGTAAAACTACATTTTGGAGTAGGAACCATTAACATTTTAACATTAATTATGAAAGTAATAATAGTCTCAAGATATGGTTAATTCTAAAATTTTAATGATAAAATCTACTGAAAGTTTATTTATTTATGTTTA